AAGGGGAGAAAGAGAGAAATGAGAAAATGATGGGGAGAATGAGAGAGAGAAGGGGGAGATGGAGAGAAATGAGAGAGCTGGAGGGAAAGAATGAGAGAGAGGGAAAAGAGAGGAAACAAATGAGAGAGAAGGGGAGAAAGAAAGGAAGGGAAGGAGAGAGAGAGGGAGAGAGGGAGAGGGAGAGGGAGAAGAAACCGATTTCCCACAGAAAACACTGGGAGCCACAAAACCTGGGCAGGCGTGGCTGGGGGTGTGTCATATGATGGGGGAGTGACATTGAGTTGGCCACGCCCACCCAGGTTTTGTGGCTCCCGGTGTTTTTTCTGTGGGTAACGGGTCCAAATGGCTCTTTTGAGTGTTTAAGGTTGCAGACCCCTGTCCTACACCATTAACATCATATTCAAACCATGTAATTCTCATTGCCGCTTACATATATTTAGCTTAGATAGTGCATATATAAGCATTCCTCCTCATTTAGTTGGTTTAATAGTCAGAGCACAAGCACACAGCAGCCAATCATATTTAGGCTATTATACAAATCCAAGCTGAGTGGAAGCACTTTCAAGAAAGCTGCTTGTAAGAATGCAGAATCTGAGCTTATATTTATCTGTTTTTGTAATAGTGACCCAGAATGTTAGATTACTTGAGTAAATAATGGGTAAGCTTGTGGCATGAGTTGTGCACATACTGTTCCCAATAATTTTATTTTAATGTATAGTTTGCTCTCAAGCTAAACCCATGACACATTTTTCCTATGGGAATAGTCTGAAAGTATACACCCCACCCCCCTTCTTGCTTTATAGGCCAAGAAAGTAAGGTGGGTTCCTTCTGAGATGTTTGCCATGTTCACATACCTGCTGCAGGATAAGCTGCCTCTTATCAAACCATTGCCCGGGTTGAGGTCTTCCCCCTGTCTTTAAGGTAAGCTCCCACATACCATTAGATGGGGGAGAGTATCTTCCTAGACTCACAGCTCCTACTCAAGGAGCAGATCATAGCGGTGGCTAAGGAGCTTTTGCAAAGATTCATTTTATCGGTTGATTAAATTTATTGGCCATCCATTTTACCACAGTGCCAATTATGCCAATTTCTGGACTGGAGTCCTCGCTCATGTTCATTTATGCCTTGGTTGCTTCCTGATTGCACTACTGCAACATACTATATGGGGCTGCTCTTGAAGATCACTTGGAAGTTACAACTGGTCTAGAATGCAAGAGTGTATGTGGTTTGGGATACCCCAAGGTTTGCCCATTATACACCCCTATTGTGTGAGCTGCACTGACTCCCATTTCCCCCCCCAGTTTTAATTCAAGACTGGTGGTTATCTTAAGCTCTACCTAGCACACAGACAGGTTATTTGCACAATCACTTCTCTCTGAGTGTATCTGCCCAGTTCTACCAACATAGAAAAGAGCAGACTTGATCTCTCCCTTAAATTTTGCCATCTAGTGGAATGAAGGAAAGGTCCCTTTTCCATAGCAACTCTTGCCTGGTGGAATTCCCTTAGTATTCCCTTAGATAGAATATTCTTCCCTTCATCAGATCCCCAGCCTCTTGGCCTTCTAGAAGGCTGCTAAAGGCTACTCCTTCCTCCTAATGCTGGGGTAAGGTGAGGTTGGAGCCTGGAGATGGTGGTGCTAGCTGCATTGGAGGAGATTGGTTGTGGCTCCAAGTTTCTCTTGTTGCCATTATTGCTTTTTTATTATTTTTATTGTTTTTCTATGATGTTTTGGTTCTGTACAACTGCTATGAGCCACCCAGAGTTGTGACTGAAGAAGGGCAGGCATATAGGTTTTCTGAATAAATAAAACAATTGTCTTGTAGTAGTGCTGTAACGGCTAGTCAGTACTACTGCTGTAGGTTCCATGAAGAAAAGTCCTCATCATTATATGATTTGAAGGAAGATATACGATTACAAAATGTAAAAAGTGCCATTTGTAACAATAGCAGTGAAAATGCAAAAATGAAGCTACCGGATCAGACAGTATAAAACAAGGCTGCCCTTGAAGACCAGCCAGCAGCTACAGCTGGTTCAAAATGCAATGGTGCAAGCAGTAACAGGCACTTCTCCCTTTATGCACATGTCACCACTGCTATGTGAGCTGTACTGGTTATCAGTTGGCTTCTGGATGTTATTCAAGGTGCTGGTTTTCACAGCTATGATTTGCTGGAAATGTTTCTAAATATGACTGGTTAAACTAAATTAACTGAAGACAAATTGCTTATATACCAATTTATAAGGGTTTGTAGATGATTTTCTAACATTTTTCATATGGCATTCAGAGCATTATCATCTACAGCAGGGGTGTCAAACTCACAATGACACACTGTTGTCACATGATATATTGCAACTTTTTTCCTTTGCTAAACCGTGGGTGGGTGTGGCCAGTGTGACACATCTGGCCCGCAAGTTTGACACCCCTGATCTACAGCATAGAATACCTAGCTAGACGTATAGGCTCATCTTTCCAATTCTTGAGATGAGAAGAAAATATATAAAAACCATTTGTCTCACAACATGTTTTCCATAAAGGCTCAGTAAGAAGGCCAGTGCAGGTAATTTTTTACTTATTTACTTATTTTTTAACAATGGTTTGCAGTTACGATGGCCTCAGAAAAGGTTACTAACAAGCTATTTTCAAAATTATTAACCGTACTACCTTCCCCAGTCATGTGACTACAATTTGGATGCTTGGAAACCAGCTTACTTTTGTAATGGCCCCTGCTTGATTCACACATACTCACCCTGTGTAAAATAGATTATAATGACTGTAACCTCACAGCAAACAATTTGGCCAAATATATATCTTCTACATTGGTGCCCAAATGGAAGACATGATGTACAGATGTGGCTGCTCTTCCCAACTGGTGTTGCTTTCTACTTATTTACTACTTATCAATGGAAATACCACTCTTCTTGAAGACCCACATTCAACTTTGCACTAGGTTGACATTTTCCTGACCAAACTACCCAACAAAAAAGAAAATGGCTCATTAACAAAATATTATAGCAGAAGGAGCCATGGAGACACAAAGCCCCACAGCAAATGGTTAGGTAAATGGGACATTTTTCTACCACAATAAATGGGTTGTTTGGAGGAGCTCAAACAGAGTATTATGTTTATACACCAGATCTTGAAGGTAACATTTTACAATACTAAAAATAAGTGATATTGAAACTGAATTGAGAGAGATTGTTTTATTCAGTCTTGAAAAATGGTTTATAGTGGTTTGGAGGCTTGTAGAAAAAGTAGCTAATGGTTTTTCCAACTTTTTGGAAAGTAGTTCCTTACATACAGTAATTCCTTATTACTGTTGGGGAAGACCTTTTGACATTACAGTATTTGCATTCTTAAATGAATTAGCAACATACAACCTGAGTATATTTGCATATCTAGTTATGTAGCTTATGTTGTAACATGCAAAATATTATGGAGATCAGATGCATCTGATTGCAAAGTGCAGTACAGTACTAAAGTCTATACCCTTTTTTAAAATCTCAGGCATCATATACAGTATGTACATGACTAGCATATGTGGGTTGCAAAAATACAACTAATCACCACATGGAAGCAGATACAAACAGCTCTTTATCTTTTGTTTTCACACGGTGATTACTTAAGACTTTTTTCAGTTCAGATATTCAGTTCTGCTGTATAGTGCAGTGTTGGTGTGGTGTTGGGAGGGTTTCCGGTTCAATGTGTGAAGGGTGAAGGATGTGTGTTTGTGTTTATTTTCATGTTCATGTTCATGATGTGCACTGAAGATGGTGTTTGATTTCGTTGTACAAGGTGCAGTGACAATAAAGTAAAATATGGCAGCCCTTATGTACAATCACTTGCTTATATCTCTCTGCATTTAATGAAGTAGGCTGACTTATGCCACACTGTAATAATTTTTCAAGTCTTTAAGATACAATCTTAATGCAATTAAGTATCCGGAAAATAAAAGGAATTGTTGCAAGGTACAATAAATAAGGAAAGTCTACATACCCCTGTTAAAATGTCAGGTTTTTGAGAGGTAAAAAAATCAGACCAAGATAAATCACTCCAGCATTCTTTCCATTTTTAATATAACATATAAGCTGTACTGCTCAATTGAAAATCAAACTGAAAACTTTTAGGGGAAAAAAAAAAAAAAACTTACAATAATATGGTTGCATAAGGATACACACCCTAAAACTAATAATTTGTTGGTTTTTATGACAGCATTCAGTCTTTTGGTAGGAACCTATCAGCACAGCACATCTTGCTTTGGGAATCTTTGCCCACTTTTCCTTGAAAAAGAACTCCAAATCAGCCAGATTGTGAAGGTATCTCCTGTGCATAGACTTCAAGTCACCCCACAGATTTTCAGATGGATTCACTCCAGACTCTGGCTGGTCCATTCCAAAATGTGATCTTCTAGTGAAGCTATTATTTTCTTGACATGGGGGTATGCTTTCGGTCATCATTGTGTTGGAAGGTGTTATTCTGAATACAGCCACCTACCTACTTACAAGAGGATGTGAACAGTTTTGCAGCCACATTCCTATTTATTTTCCGCATAAAAGATTTGTTTTTCAAATGTACACTTCGTGTTATGCTAAGAATGGAAAAAATTCCAAAGTGATTTATCTTGATCTTTTTTTTTTAACATTTACAAAACTCTGGCATTTTAACAGGGGTGTGACAACTTTCCATTGTATTCGTAAATGCATTTATACAGAAAATCCCTCCCCATTCTTGGGAGGCAAGAAGCAACAGATTATATAGTATTTATTTGTGAAGATTGAATGAGTAACCAAAAGTTGAATCACTGGATAATAACAGCTGTTATACAATCGCAGCAATACAAATGAAGAATATAGTACGAATTAAGCAACGAAGAATGTGTGCAATATATTTTCCAAATACACATCCGCAGTTAATCTGCATTATTTTCGTACAGAAGTACCTATGAAGCGCTTGCTGCAACTTTCCTCTTACCAATACAAAATTACAACGCAAAACCACCAGGAAGTAGTTTCCCCTTCGGCGCATGCTCACTCCGAAAGCCCATCTCTTTTAATCTTCCCATCACTTCCTTCATTCCGAAAGCTCATCGCTTTTAATCTTTTCCACCTCATCCCGTTGCACCAGGCCGAACTGACGCATGCGCAGCATCGCGGTAAACAGGGAAAAGCTTCGCTCCTCCCACTTCATGGCACGAACGTTTCGCCAGCTTCCCTTCATGCGCTTTCAGGCAGGAGAAACAATTTCCTTCTTTGGTGCGTCTGCGCGCTGGCCTTTCATCCGGGTACTGGAAGACGATGAATGCTCCTTTCCAAGATGGCGGCGGAGGGAGGAGGGAAGGAGATGAACGAGATTAAGACCCAGTTTACCACCCGCGAGGGGCTCTACAAGCTCTTGAGCCACTCGGAGTACAGCCGGCCCAACCGGGTGCCTTTCAATTCGCAGGGCTCCAACCCCGTTCGCGTCTCTTTCGTCAACGTCAACGACCAGAGTGGCAATGGGGACCGGCTCTGCTTCAATGTGGGCCGGGAGCTTTACTTCTACATTTACAAGGGGGTCCGCAAGGTAACGCGCCGAAGAGGAGGGAGGGGAGCGCCGGTTGTCAGTACTGCTGGGGAGTGGGTGGGTCGGTGAGAAGGAGGCACAAGGGGGACGGATCTTCCGGGTCCTTTGCTCATCCTTAGCAAGGGGACGGCCGGGTGGTGTAGCAAACTCAGGCACACCGTGGTTGTCAACAAGGCGTTTCCTCGCCGGTTTATTCCCCCTCCCTCCCCCCGCGTTGATAAAGGGTCCTACTCCCTTGTCGTTTCCGAATGGAAGTGGTTACCTCGGGAATAGGATTTTGCGGAGGCAAAGTTATTACCGTTTAGCTCAGTCGGGCACATTACGCGGGATTCTAAAAGCTAAAGGGATGGGTCGGGTTTGTGTTTTTTTTAAAGGGGGGGGGGGAGTACTTTGTAAAGTTTTGATATCTTTCACCTAAGGCAGCGCAGATGTTCTTCGAGCTTTGTGAGGGTTGAAAGCAAGCATCCTCTAAATGTTGGATTATGCCTCTGAGGGCAATGATGGAACTCACGGTTTTAAAAAAATATATATTTTAAAATATTAGCTAAAGTTGTACTTAGCCTAGTGCTCTGAATGTTGAAGCTGCAAGAGGAATATCTTTCAAATTGAAAAGAAAGTTGATCTGTGAATACCTTTTCTATCTGTCAAAAAAGCCTGGATATGTGTGTTCGTTTTCCCCTGTGCAAAGTGTTGGATATGATAAGGAACAATTTTCAGAGATTGGAATAGTCTTTTAAGTACAGTGCATGGATCTGTCAGAACTAGGTATTTTACTGAACTTGGCCTGTGTTGTTAAAGACCCAGATTAAATAGACATTCAACCACCAAACTTAGTGGTAGTTCTGGTCTAGTCATACAATGTACTTCATGGTATCATTGTGAAATATTGGAGAAGGGAGTGCTGCATGTGCTGCTTGAGCTTTTCAGAGAAAAAGCTTGTAATATGAATGAAATATGTTTAAAACTACCTTAGTTACAGAGAGGAAAAGTATTGTATCTGTCAGTTAATATTATTTGAACCATGAAATCTTACGCATTTATTATTTTTGTCAGTGGAATAGAAGCAGGAACAGACCTTTTCATAGCTTTAATGTGACTGTTATTTAGCTTTTTGATAATATACTTTATGAAGCCTTTACTTTGTAAAAGTGTAATATATTTTGAGTCTTTGACTTAAGGTAGTGAACAAAATATTAAATTTTTTCCTTTGAATGCATACTATATGAAGTTCATGCACATACTGAAACAGGTCCCTGGTCATGCAATATATATCATTTAGTGAATATATTGGCTTTAGTTCTGATTAGTTTGAACATAGGTTTTACATGATTTACAAAAACATGTGTTAGCACTGAATTCAGATGTGCTGCAGTAGTCATGCTGCATATTTTACTAAAATATTGAATGTAATAGCTAAACCGAAAATAAAAGATTTAGATATGGGCAGATAGATGCATTTGCTGCTAAGTAATTTGTCCTAAGTATTCTAGCAAGTCAAGGGAAAATATTGAGAAATAGTGAATATTGAATATATATTTGTTTAATAGTGAAGTATGGGTGTGAAGTTCTTACACAGCGTTCAGAAAAGGCTGGATTAAATTCACAATTGTGTGTCTTCCAGTATGTTGGACAATACCTTCTATCATTAATAGGCAGCATGGCAATGCTCTTGTTAGCTTGTGATAGATGCCATAATTAAGCGTGAGCTGGAATGTGTCAGATTGGAAAAAGTTGATGTAAAATATTCTGTAATAAATGATACATAGTCAAGCATTTGTGGAAATGTCACACTTCTACTATACTTGCTACTTTTCTGCTGTTGAAAGTAGATGTGCTCAGTCTCTTAAGTGGAAAAGAATATTTGCTCACACTTTATTTTTTAGTGCCCTGGATTTCAAAGTGATGATATGTGTCATAAATAAGGAGTTAGATATGGATAGGAAATAGGAATCTTTGTTAAGGTTGATGCATACATAACAACAAAGTCTCAAGTTTTATATGTGCTTTGTACGATACATCTTATGTAACAATAATCAGTGACTATTTTAAATTAGAAGATAAAAATGGAGCTGGAAGGGATCTTGGAGGTTTTCTAATCCAACATCCTCCTCCCCTCAAGCAGGACCCCCTATACAATTTGAGCAAGTGGCTATTCAGTCTTTTCTTAAAACTGTCCAGTGGTGAAGCACCTACAACTTCTGGAGGCAAGCTGTTCTACTAGTTAATTGTTCTCACTGTTAGGAAGTTTCCCCTTAATTCCAAGTTGCTTCTCACCTTGATTAGTTTCTATCCATTGTTTCTTGTTTTGCCTTCTGGTGCTTTGGAAAATAAGTTGAGCCCCTCTTCTTTGTCGCAGCTCCTCAAATACTGGAATATTGCTGTATCTCCCCTAGTCCTTTTCTCTAGCTTATGTCTTGTGGTATGACTGTGTGCGTGCTTACTCAAAATTCTATTCTGCATTATTTAATATGTAAATATAAGTGCATTTTCTTAATTCGTTACACAAAATACCTGAAAAAGTTATGTTGCATAGTAGTTAACATAAATATCAGCTTACAGGGGCACTGTACAGGGAGTCTTTGACTTACAATCATTGGTTTGGTGACCATTAAAACTTAAATGCACTAAAGAAAAATGACTTACAACCAGTTTTTATACAACAGTTGCAGAATCTCAGTGGTCCTGTGACCAAAATTTGGATGTTTGGCAACTGGCATGTATATAGATGGTTGCAGTGTCCAATGGTCATGTGATTTGTGATCACCTGACAAAGTCAAGGGAGAAACTACATTCACTTAATAACTGTTATAAAAGATTGTAAAAGGGGGCAAAATGCTTAACATTGGAACTGTCATGCTGAGCAACAGAAATTTTAGGCTCAATTTGTGGTTGCAAGTTGAGGACTACCGATAGTATATTGTGTATAGGACTGCCTTTGAATATTGTTTGAAAAGTATAATGGATAACAACTATATCACTTCAAACTGTTTTCAAATTTCAGAATGCCACCCCCTTCCTCATCCTATTTGGGAGCTTAAATATGTTTCCTCTCTTGTGCCAAAAGAAGAAAGTGGCAAACAATTTCAGTATTGTTGCCAAGAGTATTAACTATATTGTCTCTAAGAAAATTCCTGGAACCAACCTTAACTTGAACCCCCCTTTTTTCATGGGTTTGAAGTATTACTTACTATTAGTTTTTAAAAAAATCATATGTCCATAGTGGAGGGTTTATCAATGGTGCTTGCCTTTGTCTGGCCTTTCTAGAAAGACTCAAGATTTTCTTTTCTGTAAATTTGAATGTATTCCTGTATATCTGGAAAATATTTATATTTACCAGGTTTTTTGCTCTATTCCAAATTTGTTCTTCTGCTTTCTTGCACTTTTACTGTATCCTGCATAATTTATCTTAAATTGTTTCCCAAAATATGCTGAATATCTATCTCACAGCTGTTAATCTTCATATAGATAAAATGTGGTTTGGTTTGTCCATTGCTATAATTAAGTAGCCTATAGACTTGGTACTATATTCTTGTTTCCTTGTATTCTTAAACACATTCCTTTTCTGTACTGTGAACTTTCAAAATTAGTGGTTTTCTGAAATTTTTAGCTAAGTACATGTGTGCCAGTGGTGAAAAGTTTTAGCTGAAATATACAGATATTTGTATATATATACTTTGACCTTGTTCCTTTGTATTTCTTAAGCATTTTCACAATTATGGAATTTATTTTAAAATGTAGATTAAGCTCTTCTTTGTTTCCTGAGTAATTTCTTAACAGTTCATGTTGTTGTTTTGGTACAGGTGATACCTTGACACAAAAAAGAAAGGTATAGTGTGGCTGAGATTGACAGACACTCTTGCAGGTACTCCACTTGGATTGCCAGGTGGAAATCCCTTGTTGGGAAAAGCAAGTGCCATGCTTTTCCTAATGAGGGAACAAGCAGGACAGTTTGCAGCTGTGTTAACTGGTTCCCTACTTTATTTGCATGAACTCTCGAGTTCATCTTATATGCTCAAAGCACTATTTTCTGTCCATGAGAGAAAATAGAGAATGGTACCTCCTGATCATGAGGTGAGAAGTGTGCTAACAGAGGGTGTGGTTTCCATTTGTTTAACATCATCTAGTCTGCCTGGGTAGGTAGAGAAACTGATCTGAACTCTGGACTGTTATCAGGTTCCTCAGCCTGATTTATGAGGTTCTGCAGAAATTATGTAGAAAAATAATCCAGAAAATTGGCTGAAGTCGTGTTGCTTTCTGGATCTATATGTTCAAGAAGCATGTTTATTTTTACACTTTATACCAATATGAACATTTCTCAGCAATATATACAATTTGACATGGACAGACACTTTATTTTCTGCATAACAGGATAACTGCATTTGACTTCAGCTTTATTCCCTATCTTGTTTATATCTATAGGCAAGAGTTCATTGGTTCCTTGAATCATGTCTCTAGAGATATTACAAGGAAATGGCTGTTCCTGCAGTAAACATGTTTCTTGTAGTTAGTTACAACTGTACATTTCTTTTTACATATGTTATGGTTTTTTAAAAATGTGGTATATCCTTGAACATTGACGTAATCAGAAAAACAACTCTTTTATATTTTCTATCACTTAACCAAAGCCTCTGTCTTAGCAATATTAATATCATGTATGTATATCCCATGGCAAATGAGATCTAGAATATTGATCATGATTGCAGAAGAACAGCATGGTTGGATCCTCTCTTTTTTTTAAAAGAGCAGCGTCCCAGGACCAAAGTGCTGTTGTATCTGGGAACCTTTGTTATCTGGAAATCACCATTGTCAAGGCACCAGGAACAGAATCTCAGATGTTTATACAGATAAAGAAGAAAGCTTTCTTCAGAATACCCCATCCCAAGCTGTTCAGGAGTTCAAATGTTTATAATAGACCTCTTACATTGAATCCGCTGATTATGGGGAACAGATTGAATATAAGAATAACATAATTTGATTAATCCATGCCAACAATCTGCATT